ATTAACTATCGACTTTTCCTGCAAATTAGCGACTTACACCAAATTGTTGGTTCGGTAGTTAAACTATCGGCAAAACACTGACATGTTTTCGTAATTGTGGCGTGACGCGTACCTGACTACAGGTCACAATTACGCCGTATGTGCGGTGAAAATGACGGGGGACATGGTTCAATAATTATCTATGAATGATAAACGCTACATACTTTGATTGTATGTTTCCCCTCACTAATTGCTACCGAGTCGAGTAGTTAACTTTTGGCTTTCGACTTTTGTAACTAATACCTACTAGGGATGCGTGATGGCGAGAATGTATGTATTTATCTTCTTTGTAAATCACGAAAAGCAGTTTTGATTGTTCCCTAACATGTTTTACTTATTGATTTATCTTTTATTACCTACTACCTACGTTAGTTGCGCGTTCTCAAGTCTTAGCCTTTAAAAGAAGTAAATTGAGAAAGAACAAGAATTTCATTTCAAATGTAGGTAATGCAGGTAAACAAAAGTTTGAAAAGTTGAGGCACTCATAATATTACGATACCAACCAATAAATAGCTACGCATGGCCTCCTCTCATAGCTTATACGAAAATGCAAATAAGCACGTCTGACCATGCTTGCTTAAGGTAATTGGCAGAACTATAATTTTAGGCTTATAACTCTATATCTAAGTTCAGATTTTCCTACGATACTTACTTACTTCAAGGTAGAAACATTTATGTGCCCTTAATTTTTTAATTCAATCCTCTTTTCAAAATAAATTGTTATTTTAGATTTCGGAACTAAGGTTATTTAGAATTCAGGGTAGCAAACGTATTAATCAATTATCAGTATTGAATAAGGAAATATTAAGGACCCCGGGTAATTAATTTATTTGTACAATTATAATCAAATCGAGCCATATTGCCGACCTATGATGTGGAGTAATTATCGGCACCCCAAGTTTGTGTAGTGTCGGATGGGTTTTTCGGGGTGTACGACATTTGCACTGATAGACCTGTGCTCTAATGCAGTGAACCGGTATGTTTGGTCAAAAGAACGATTTAGAATTATAGATAAACAAACCCCGTCGGACAGTTTCATTAAACAGTAATGCAATAATTGTCAGTTGCGTTCTCTGTCCATTCTAACCTGATAGTGTTTTATGTATACCTGCGTAGAGAGCTAGGGTCAAATGAGACCAACATGTTATGAATATTTGAGGACCAAGACATGGTGCTATAAATTAATTCTATTTACAGACATTCTAAAGACATTTTAAAAGTGTACTTATGTAAATTGTGTGTACTGTGTAGGTATATATTAAAACTGTATTTATTTTTGTAGTACGTGAACCAAGGCCTAAGTGTCCTGCGCTAACTAAAGAAATATAAAAGCTAGAGGTAATAATTTTATGTCCACAGTTATCTATTATGCATGTATCTATTGTCAAGGCTAGGCCTAAGGAACTAGGGCCACGTATCAACTGAAAAAGAATTATGCTGGATGATTTCGAGGTCGACGATTTCGTTAAAATTATGGTTAATGGGAACATAGGGAAAACAACTTATACATATACAGCAGTGAATCATAATTTCAGTTTTTATGGGACAGGTGGGCTAACGAATAGATTGACTAAGATCGCATTATGGCCAACAAATAACCCGTGGACAGTCGCAATGTCAGAAGAGTTATAAGTGCGGTGCCGGCGTTTGGGGATATGGGAAGAGTATTGAAAATACAACACGCGTTTTTTCACGCAGATTTTCTGTGGAGGCGTGGTATCATCCTGGTTGAGCTGGCCCTATCGTGATCTCGGCTCGGCTTTCCCAATCTTAAATATTCTCTATCAGAATAATGCCTGTAAAATCATCGAAAGTCTTGTAAAAATGTTTATAATTTTAAGTGATGACTATATTTGTTCAGTAGGTGTACGGAATCCAAGTTACATTCCAGGTCAGTTAAGTATAGATAAAATATTATTTTTCTTTAAAATAGTTAACTACAGGTCGCTACTTCGGCGTCGTGTCTGTCGTCACTAGTTAATAATAGAGCACCCATTGTGACAACTTGTTGCGGGAATTACATAGCACCAAGAAAATATATAGGTCCTACCTTTATAATTAGCTACACTGATCTAAATAATACAGAACACAACTACAGAAACAGTGTTCAGAAAAGTACATCATCATCATCGGCTGATGAAGAAGACGTCCACAGCTGGACGAAGGCTGACGACTAACGAAAAACTTCTCGAACGCTGCCCTTCGAGCGACCTCTTTATCGATCAAAGATTGACCTACCTAGCTGAATACGTAACATGCCTGCGGGTGCAACATGGACTTTTTTGTCTGACATTTCTGTTTCTACCAGCATTAGTTAAGGGTTTACTGGCAGAGACAGGCAAATTGGAGGGAAGTGGATTCATTTTATGAGACAGCGATTTTAGAAAAGGAGGCTGCTGAGCGAGATTGTGAGAGGGCCGATTCTGATCGTAGAAGGCGTCGAGAAGGACACCTAACACGCTGAAATCCTGCCTGCATCAACTGTAGGTGGACCTTTGGGGCCACGGGTGGACTGAATGGGGACTCTAGGTGGGCACCTAGAGCTTAAGAGAAGACGGTAGCACAGTGGTTACGTGCTACCGTGCAACTGCACAGCGAGGCTGAAGGGAGACGCGCGGTTTCCTAGGATTGTGCTGCAACAGGCGTCGCACTGTGGAGGCTCCGGGGCAGGTCTGTTAGAGGACCAGGTGTCCCCTACAGGTGCTGAGGGTGGGCACCAGGGGCTTTTAGTTAGGCAAAAATTACTAGTCTTCCTCTCCAAATAGCGAGAGTCGAGTTGCCTCGTCAAACATGTACGATACGACAACGTCAGTAAACAAATAATATGATACCCATTATGTAATTGTTAAGTAATGAGTACTTATTTGCTTTATAGTCCACCATAACCAGTTTATTTAAAAGTGCATACCTCAGTAAAAGTAAGTAAGAGGTTTTCTTATTCAACAAACTAATTACCAAATTAAATTGAAAAACTAATTTTGATTCTAGTTCCTGGGCTTAAATAGGTGATTTACTTATTGATCGTGTTGAGATCTGATGTTAGCAATAGGTAATAAAAAGAAAATACTTTTCCGTGATTACTTACATCATTACTAGGTAAATGTATAACTATGTGAAAACTACGAAAAACGCATAATTTTAGTTAGCTGCTACTCAATAAAACCGGTTACAATGTATGGTACCTACCTATTTTATTTAAAAAAAGTTAAAGTTAGCATAATATATTTTTTCTATATTTCTAGATCATGAGTCATCATAGACATAGGTCTTACAATAAGTCTATAATACTTGTTGATTGCGTAACTAACGCATATCATAGCCACCTACTCCATTCTATCTAATTTGGGCTAAAATCTAAAGCTAAATCTGAACTGACATTGTTTATTTAATATTATAAATTCTTTAGTTGTAGGTACCTAAATTGCAGTTGCCGTTGCGCTTTATGAATGAGAAGATTCCTGTGTATATGGTCCTTACTTTAGACCATAACATTCGTTAGGGACAATTATATCTTAGGTAATAGGTATAAAATAAAATCGAAGGAAATTGAAAACTGTACCTACATTGAATATTTTTTTTAAATATGCTTGTGTCGTAATCTACAATCGATATCGAAGCCAAAAATATGGTGTTTAGAATTGTTGTCTGGTTGTCTGTTTGTCTGTATGTACCTATGTCAGGGCTACACTCAAAAAGTTATGTATGGATTTAGGTGCTTCAGTTTTTGCATGAATAATACTAACAGGTCATGTCAACATATAGGCTATACATATTATCACATTATTACCTACGGGGGAGGAGCTGTAAATCACTATTCCACGCGGTAAGTCGCAGCACAGCTCATAAGCACAGCAAAGTAATAGGTATGATATAGAGGTAATTCTTAAATTATGTTACCCAATGATAAAATATTATTTTTGTTTAAAACCGTTGTTGCTGCAATCATACTGGAATTGTGATTATCTTTGACGATTTGAAATAAACTTGTTGTATTGTATAGTTCTTCTAAAAATTAATGGTAGATCTACGTACCTACAAGACAAATGGATCGGATTGTCAGAAAGCCGCCGGCAACGTAGTTATTCACCATCATCGTCTGTATACATGACAATGACGATCCACTGTTGGACTGTTGTTGCCTCCTCTCCGTAAGAGGGATTTATATAATGTTAGAGGGTTTTGCTCGATGTTTGTTTGTATGTAAATATATTTATCTGTTTTTAATGAGCTACTAATTTTATCAAGCACCAACACCAATTATTATATATGTGGAAAGAAGTAGGTAATCCGGTCAACTTAATAGGTGGAGGATTTACTTCAGGTCTAATGAAAGTATGTGGTAGATACACGGACCTACCTAGTTTTTATTTGATAGAGCGTCTAGCTAACTATCTACTTCTATGTTCAAGTTATTATTGGACACGACTATTGTATAGGTACTTATATAATATCACAAAGTACTAAACAAGCCTGCTGTTAACGGGACAAAGGCATAGCTACTTAAGGAATAGGTAGGTACTTATTTGTAATTTGATTTAAAGGTGTTCCGAATGGTAATTTGTTTCTAATGAAAGAAATATTTATCTCAGAAATCTACTAATTGTTTTTACTCACTACTCGCAACATGGCTACTGCTTGCTACGGCGTAGTCATATTGAGCAGAAAAGTTTATTTGTACATCTAGAGAAAATATATATTTAAATGTACTTGGACTTCAAGTAGATGAAAACTAGATTTCTTGAGACACAAGATCACAACATTCACCACGAAATTTAATTTGGATGAACAATAGGTACTTTCTATGTAACACTTAAAAATCACTGAAAATAATGACAGATTTCATTGATTCTAGTTTCAAACACCTATTAAACGAATCACTAGCATAGAATTAAATATACAGCACACATTCGCTATTGGCATAGGTAAAAGTCAGGATAAAAAAATATGGATTAGGTACTCACGTTTTTTGATGTCTTCAGCCGAATAGATAAAGCACAACAATCAGACACCACCAAATGATTATGTCCTCTGTCATAAAATTGTTCAGCTCGGGGTGGTAATAAAGTAGGGGGTGTATAGTATATGTGGGCGGAGCGACCTTTCATCCCCTAACTTCGTACGACTTGATTGGTTAGAAGTTAGAGGGCGTGACACTTTATTCTATTCATTATTTATGACGAATTATGCTTTCATTGAACAGGTGCGGTTGCCTCGTTGTCTATATCAGAGCGTTTAACAATATGGTCTCCTGTGTTTGTAAACTTTTGTTCTTAAGTACTTAGGTAGTAGTCTATAATCATGCGTTCCCATCAAGGTTTCATTCTTATCGCCTTTGATATTTTAATTTTAGTGGCCATTTTTGTTGTGTTTATTATAATTAAGTATACCAAATTGTGCAAGTGTGTCTATCGTAAGTGTTATCGTTTTCTATCACAATTTTAAAATTCTCACAAGTTATAGACCGAATCCGTTATTTTATGCTGAAAAATTATTACCATTTTAGTAAGCAAATAACACGACGGTTATTGCTAAGTTCTTCGAATAGGTTTCAAAGTGCTGTACCTAAAGGTCAGGCGGGTATACAAATATTATTGATTATTATCGTTCATCTTTTAGTTTTAGTGTTTCTTAAAAGTTGTGTTCCAAAAAATTTAATCAAAATTTAAATGGCATACACTAAAGTGAGTGCATACATCGAAGGAGGTTCAGAAAAATAGAGACGAGGCGTAATAAAAAAAACAGGAATTTTAATACATAGGTAAGACACGTTTGAGAGAATAAAACTAAATATTTCAATCGGAACCTATTTATTCTTTGTCCCATTTTTATAAAACAGAATGAGCTAATAACTTACATATCAGTTGTTACACAAAAGTGCATTACATGCTTTACATTAACTGTAATATATAATTTTATTTAACAAATACAGAGTTAATTCAACGTTAGTAAATAAGTACAGATAGAACAATAAGCTAAATATTATTCAAACACTTTATGCTTTGGAAATAACACTAACTGTCTAAAATTAAGAAACGCATATGTGTGTATAACGTCATGTTATGTATTAGTAGAATAGCGATACTATAGTTAAGTTAAATCACAGTTGAATTATATTTCTTTATATGTTACCCTTACTATTGGTGTATATCGTTTGCTTGATGAGTTAAAATAAACCGCCAGTAATACGATCCTGAACTAATTAGACTTGATGAAGTTAACACACATTTACGATGACTAAAATAAATGGAATCTCAATAAACTGTGATCATAAGTGTTAAATAATAATTATGGATATTATTGCAAAACAAATTATGTACACGCATTACGAATATTTATTTATAAAATTATACATATTTTAAAGAAAATCTGTAGGATTATATTGCATAGGATTATGACACTAGGACCAATAAATATTTAAATACCCTAAAACCGAGCATGTGGTACTGTAACAAAGTCCGTAGCGTGACGATTTATAGCTGGGTGATTTTGTGTGGGTATAAAGTAGGAGTACAAAGTAGTAGGCTACGAATTTTTAGAATACGCCCGACAAATCCGTTGCATCGTAATTTGAAACTTGTTGCAAACTGACTTCGAAAAACAGGAGGTTTATTAGTCGGACTCTTTTTTATTTTTCGAAGCCCTGAAGTGTTCAAGTAATTTTTTCTCCACAATGATAACATCTTCGCTTATCTATTTGGTAAATGGTAAAGAGAAGAAGGAAAAACCGGGTTAGGGACTAATATTACCAACCAGACGGGGATTCCGAACTCTGTTCTTTGAGTCCGGACCCAACTCGCCAGATAAGCTTTTTGCCGCTGGAAACATTGGCGGGTATTGATGCGAAAGTGTATGGCTAAAATCCGGGCTATATATGCCAAAATAGCGATAGTGATATAAAGTTCGATTCGGTGCACATACGTACGGACGCGCTCAAACTGTGGCGTGCGCAGCTGCAACAGCTGGAGCACAAGCACATTGCAATATCTCGATTTCGCGAAAGTTTCGCAAAAGTCGCGAAAATTTAACACCGTTTTACCTAGAGTAATGTCTTGAGACAAAACGGTGTTAAATATTAATCCATAACATATATGAAAAAAAAACAATCGCCAAATTTGCATCTACCATATCCCAAGGTACCTAACTAACCTTGTATATGAAGTACCTACTTCCTTCTCCTCTAATTTTCCTTAAAATGAGAATGTATTACAGGAAGCAAAATAATCGATATGTCGTAGGATAATTTGATACTTCGAATCTTCGCGGAAATCCTAGGGGTTTTGCGAAAACGCGGATAATTAGACATAGGCGAAAAATTATTAAATCTTACTGGACAAAGTCAGGATTTTTGTGAAAATACTCGTTACTATAGTAAGATTTGATGTGCTCAACACTGATTGGCTACAATTTTGCTGGCTGACTTCTAATTGGTTCCTAGTTTGCCGATGATTAACTTCAAGTATTGTATCATATAGTTATGAAGGTTTAGAATAGGTGAGAAAGGAAAATCACTAAATCGGTTTTTATAAACTTTTTATTGAAAATTTTAGTATGTATGTTGTTTTCTACAGACAATAGGAGATCTCAGTCGTAGTAAAAAAAAAATGATCCAATTTTAGGGTGTAATCCATAAATTGGATGAAACTGGTCGTTTAAGACGACGAAAAAACATTTAAGACGTCAACCAATCAGAGACGATCTCTTATTGAACGCGCTGACCGACCAATCAGCGTTCTTATTTCATAACAGCCAGCGTTTCGTTTCGCAATCTTACTATAGTAACGAGTATTTTCGCAAAAATCCTGACTTTGTCCAGTAAGACTTGATAATTTTTCGCCTATGTCTAATTATCCGCGTTTTCGCAAAACCCCTAGGATTTCCGCGAAGATTCGAAGTATCAAATTATCCTACGACAGATACATATGTTATAGGTAAAACGTGTAAATATAAATGTACTTCTTATGCACTGGGAGTACCTACGAATATGACATTACAACGGAACTATTACAAGCACACGTATCTATTTCAAACAAAACTAGGTATTATAAGTAGGTCTATCAACCAAAAAAATAACCTGAATTGTATATCTTTGGATCAATTTTTGACAGTTGTATGGAGTAATTACTATCTAGAACCGAGATTGATCCAGAGATATTGGATTTAGATCGGTTTCTGATTTCATATCTATTTTAGCCCCTTAATATATTTAAGGAAGTGATTTCACGAAGTTGAGAACATTGAGCGGCCCAATCAATTTCGTAATTCACTAACGGAATATAATTTAAGAGCTAAACATTTCTCTTGCATGGTATGCTTTCTTTATTCTCAGTAACCAGTGGCAATGAAAAACGTTCAATTTAGATATAGCCGCATAGTAAAATTACAATTATAAGCGTTCTGTAAATTATAACAGTTCAAGATCCCAGAGCACCCAATTCTAGATTATTTTGACAGCTCTGATATTCCAAGTGCTATTGGTTTATTATATATTGATCCAAGTTATCAACCATTGTGAACTATATTCTGGACACCCGTATACTAATATACGGGTGTCATTTGTCTAAACAAATGACACCTAAAATTTCAGTTTTGCTAAAATAACGTAGGTTTGGGGCCTCTGAGATCCGACTCTTAACAAACAGATCCAAGAACAAATAAATTGAAATTATTTGGAAACCATTTTTTAATAAAAATATTTTAAATAAAACAACCGGTTATCTACCTTATCAAGAAGATATGCTTGAATTTCAAAATGTGCTTAAGTCATAGCTGTCATGTAATTCTGCAGGAGGACCAAGCGTAAAAGATAATCTTGAAATAGTGGAAACAATTCAGAATTATCCTTACAATTATTCGACATCCCCTATATGTGATGTCCACAGTAATTTGAAGCCAATAACCTCAAAAAGTCATCTGTTATCGCACGTTGTTTTAAGACACAGCCATTATTAAACCATATTTATTTTTGACATATAAATATCATTTATGATGCATTGATGATGAAAATAATTATCAAGTTGCTATGTTCCACATACAATTATACAAGTTTTTACTCCTATGACTCAAACAAGTTTTTAATTCAAAGCAATTTAGTACTTAGATTTTCCCATAAAATCTTAGACGCTTTACAGTACTACAGAAATGATAAAGTACGCGCTCGAAATATCTTTATTATTTGTATTAGAAGTGTAGTGCGTACTATGTTACGTTATTATAAAATGAATATAGTATATCTGTTATAGTTTTAAAGCATTCATTTAGAATAACAAGTCTACGTTTTATTATTTAAATATTGTGAGACGTCAAAGGTCTCCCTAGAAATGTGTAAAGACAATTGGGAGTCTGAGACTGGTATTTAGAGGGTGCAGTGACCGAGTGGTGTGGTTTTAGTCTTGAGTCAGGTAAGAATTCTATACTACCTTGTCTCCGCCCTCCCCAAAGCTAGATGCCGTTGGATGTCCCCCATCATCGAAACATTCTATATTTTTGTAGTACTACTTGCTACTATCTAAGGTTTCCGAATTTTTAATTTTATTTGCTTTGTTAAAATGTAATTCATTGCCACCTGTAAATAATATCATATACTTACTGGATATATTTTTCTTACAACTTAACCCTCATTAAAGATAATTTACATTGCATTTTGTTCTTAGTGTGTATCAGATTACATATGAGCGAAAATTGAACATCACGTTTTCATGCACACAGAATCATTACTATGGTTAGCATGGAACCATAGTCTATGGTAGTCAATGCTGGCAACACCTAAGCACTGAAAACACTGCTCATATTTACATTTGATATAATATGTTTACAATAACTATCGTGAGAGGTAGGTACTGAATTAACTAAAAATAACTAGTAGGTTGCGCGACGTCGCAGCGACGGCGCTGCTCATGAGGAAGAGGCCCTCTGTTACTCGAAACTAGCAGAGCTTTTCTGCGTATATTTTTAGTATATTATTTTACGGTAAGGTTTGAATAGCAAATATAGTCGTCTTTAACTCACCTAAACAAAAATCTTTCAAATTTGTGGCATCGGTTTAACTGCACTATCTAATATGCACAGAGGGCGTTGCTGCTCGTAGGACCGCCAAATTTTTCATAAT